TACCGGGGTAGATTCACTCGCTAGCCTTCTGTTCCCTCTCCCTTCCGGTCCATGCATTTACTGATTCTCATGCATGGCCTGGTCCGGTTGGACCTCCACTTCTAGCATTGCTTTTCGCTCTTCTGATGACTTTTGACTTCTGTTCTCAACCATTCTGCCTGAAATCGTCTCCCCATTGTCGGTCCGGTTTCGTGTGGTCCTTTCCTTAAAAGGGTCGGTCATTGCTCTTCTCTGTTTCTCAGGTATGAATTTCCTGGATCTATCACCTAGTTTAAGTATGCTTGACTTGTCTAGGGTCATACTCAATCTACCACTTCTTACTGCCAATACACTCAATTCGATTGCTAGTGTCCTTTTGATCCGACTACTGATAATAATAACACAACATAATAAGTTCCAAAAGTTTTTATTAATAATCGATTTTTAGTCGTAAGATTTGAGAACTAGCACAGTATGATGATATCAGTCAATTTAAAAGATAGTGTATTCACTACCCAATCAAGCACAAATTGCTGATTTAAAACCAGAAATAACAAAATTAGAATATTTCTATGAAAAGCGTATTTGTATTGTATTTTTAGTCGGTGGCAGTACAATAGTCGAACTTGTATTTTAAAGAAAGAGCTTTCCCTGCTTGGTGCTGCACCAAACAGACAAAACTTGAAGGCAGTAATTTCCTCAAGTGGGCGTCTATTGCACCCACCGAGTCTCCTGTTACCTATCTGCCTTCGGACTTCCCGAGCTAGACCTACTAAAATCCTCAGGGCAGTCACTTTTCTCAAAAAAGTTTTGGATTTCAATCCACAGCAATGAGTTACACACTCTTTTTTAATTTAGACTTAGTGTCGCGAATATACGAGTTTGGACCTGTTTTGTTTTGATCTGGTCTTTTTTGAAAGGCAAGTTACCAGTGCAGTCACTGGTTCCTAGCTTGTCGCTTAATAACCTAATACTTCTCAATATTATCTTTTCTTCTGTTTACCTAAGTCCTGAAACAAAAATAATACCCCTCGGGTTGACAAAAAACACTAGCCCTCCGGATTGGCAAAATTGAGATCTCTCCAGATTGGGACCCCTCCGGTTTTGTAATAACAGGATCCCTCCGGATTGGGGCCCCTCCGAATTAGGAAAAATTTGGACCCCTCCAGATTGGGACCCCTCCAAATTAGGAAAAATTTGGACCCCTCCGGATTGGGACCCCTCCGGTTTTGTAAAAATAGCTTTTCAGAGACTTCCTTGATTTTCAACATATACCCCTTCGGATACGTTCTCCGATGCTATTATGCTGTTTGTATCAACTAGGAAGGGTATGTTGTCATTGCCTAGACCTTTCCGGATTGAAGTTAAGCCTCTTATTTGTCAATTCACGCTAACGGTGAAGGGTCTTTTCGCTAGCCTAATTTCGGCTCGACCAAGGTTTTCTGGTGCCTTTAGCCCTTACCTTTCATCTAGATCAGCGTAAAATTGCCTTATTCAATCGTTTCTACCCTTTGGTAGGAGTGTAAGGGCTTTCCAAAAAAATTTTATAAAACGTGAAGGGTCTACACTCCCGAATTGGTGTATTTGCTAAAAAAAATAATCCTAAAAAAATTTCACGCTGATTTTTTTGAATAGTTTTTGTTCTTATTAGTAAGCTCAGCTATTTCTGATTCAATGGTACCAAGATCAACTGGATCTGTCCAATCATTTCAAAGTTATTAACCAAAACGTTTTTTATCTAAATTCAAAATTTTTCTCACTTATAGTTTCCGCCTAACTTTTTCCGCAAATATGTTCTTTGCGACCTAAACTTATTGATCCGAGCTCAGAAGGCCTATACTCTCCTAGTTCAATGTAAAAAACCAGATCTGAAACGCTCTAGTTGAAAAAATTTGCGAAAAACTATGATATTTGAACCCCTCCGGATTGATGAATCCACTGAATCAAACACGTTAAGTTCGGTTTCTCTGTAATCCGGAAGGCTTTGGGTAAACGGGTCTTGAAACCTGTCGATTCACTAGTGGACGTTGTCCGAACAATTATTTTTACTGTCCTAATTCAAAATTTCAAAAAATTTTCTGATTTTATAGTGTTCCGTTTTCTCAAAAATCGCGAAAATTCGGTTTTTGGTACCAAAATAGTTCCAACCACTTCTGAGCTAAACTTAACCGGTTCTACCTACTATAGTAGTGGAATTACGATGTAACGCACTAATTTAGCGCTTTTTCCGTTTCAAAAACTTTCAATATTTCAAAAATCGCAATTTGTGGGGGGGGGCGGTCAAAATATCGCTATTTTGATCCTAAAAACCGGCCGCTTACTGTGTTTTTCACTGAAAAACGATATAGGAGTAATAATATAGACTATATAAGAAAAATATTAGTAATACTATACCCCTCCGGGTTTGTTCATTATCCGAATTAAGGTGCTTAACTCGGATTTTCGCAGTTCAGTGAAGGGTCACTACAGTGCAGCACTGTCGAGCCCCCCACAGATTACTATCTACTTTTTGTACCAAAAGGGATACAAAACTTGTTAACGATACCCAACAGTCGATTGTTGTTGTCGTTGAGCCCCTTCTTGTTGCTCCTTGTACTGCTTGCCGGATCAGTCTTCTCCCAAGACCCTTCTGGATTGAGCGCAAATCAGCAGACCCTTCCGGATTGAGCGCAAATTAGCACTAACATGCTTAAATACTCAAGTAACCCTTTAGTACAAGCCTCACAAATGGGCCATAAAAATGATCGTAACGATACTGATTGATATAAATGCCTGTAACAACAATATATCTATCAACAACACACAGGAGGGTCGGATCACATCTTGTCTGGGGGATGATTTCTACTGATTTTTTCCTTTTTTTTTTTTTTTTTTTACTGTTTTTGTTTTTTTGTTTTTTTAGTGTTTTTTGTTTTTCTAGGGTACTTTACTGCTTTTTGTTTGGTTTTTTGTATATTTTCAAGTGTTTTTGGTCACAGACTTCACGGGGAGCGAGGGGACGGCCAATCCCCCCACCCTTCCTGGAACGTGAATTTTCGGTCCTAACTATGTTAAAAAGCTATTCACGGTAATCCGGAAGTTTTCCGCGTTACGAACGACCCTTCCACACCGGCGGTTGAGGCCTATTAAGGGCGTTATTATGAGCATCCGATCGGCGCGGAATGCTCGTTAACGGTTCTGCCGGTCGTGATGTTAAAAAAGAATAACACCCAGGAGCGCCATAAAAAAATCTATGTAACGTTCGCCCGGAAGTACATATCGACGGAAAATAATGCTAGGTTCTAAGACGACTGGCCAACGTCTAAAAAGAGCTCTACATGCTTTTCAACGTCTCTACCAAAGCCAGTTCTTTTGGTGGTTTTTTCAACATCGGGACGAAAAAAACGTTACTGTTCTCCGGCTTCGACCAGAACGCTCAAATTATTTTAATTGCATGCAAAGTGGTGAGCTCGTGGCTGGGTCTCAGTTTCCCCAGACCACGAGGTCACTCCTAAAAACAGGGCTGCTACTATTTGTTATATTACTTTTGTTTTTGTTCAGTAGATAAAAATCATCATCTCCATCGAAGATGGGTCAACCCTTTCCCCCAACTCCTAGCTTCTCATCGTCGTAAAATGAATTCAGATGTTAATTAAATTCAATTCAGGACATAATAGGGAAGCTCAATGTCTATATAAAACAGTTTCAGTTCAAATCCCGAGACCCCTCCGGATTCCTGAATCCGGGAAAATAACGCCCTTATCTTCCCTCCGGAAGGCTGTTTTTCCACCCTTCACCGTTGTTGTGAACGGCCTTGCGACGATTGTAGCGACACAATCGTTGCAACTCGGAACGGTCTCTACTAAATCTGCAATTCGTTGTTGTTTTTCTATCGCAATCCTCGTAGTTATCACTATCTATCGCAACTATTGTTGTTCTGATTTTCTTCTGGTTTTCTTCCGAAATTGCGGTTTTTGCCGTTTCTCAGAAGTGCGACTTCTCAGTTCGAATTTTTAAAATTTCAAAATACCAGAATATCTTGACCTTCACCGTTTGACTAATCGTCCCAATAACGTCACTAATCTCTCAAAACTGTCAATTCGGAAGGTTAGCTGCTTACTATTCGAAATCGTCAAATCTGCATTTTTGTCCATTCTGGTCGAATGTCACATAACTCAGAATTCAATATTTTTGAAATATGGTATTGAGGTTCTGATGATCCCAAAAAGAGGTAAAGTTCATTTGAAAGATTTTTGAGACTTGACTCTGAAACCAAGTCAAACCAGTCTTCAATTTAATCAATTTACGATTCGGCTTAATGTCCGGCTCCGGGTTTTCATAGTGGTACCTGTTTTAATCCACTTAAGAGCGTGTAGCTATCTCTTCATGTTTGTGAGCTGTCTTTAAATGAAATGAGGGGTTTTTCCTATTATAGCCATCAAGACATCGAAGAGATTGATCTGAGCTGAATGATTTATTAGTACCGTATTAAGAGTAATGAACGTAGTGAGTACTCTTATATAGGTTTTCCAAATTTTTTAGAACAATTTTGTTCACGCTCACTTATGATTTTTTTGTGGTTTGACTTGTGATTTCTTTTGGAGTCCAGTGCACTTCTATTGTTACAAAGAAGGCAAACTAACCTATCGAACAGCAAAAGTGTAAAGGTCACGAAAGACGTGATCGACTTCTAATTTCGAATATGGAAATTAGTTATCAGATTTCCCAGCGAAATAAAAGTTTTGCCTATTGATCCAGTTTTCTCAAATTGGGTTAATTTTAACAAAAAGTGTCTATCATAAATTGTTCTACAATTTCAAAGAGCTTTAATGCCATCTATTTTTTTTCTTTGAAATTCATAAGTTGAAGGTTTTCAAAAGAACAAGTCAATTTTCTTTTAGTTTCCTTGCGTTCATGGCTCTTTTCCAACTGTCAGTTGGCTATAGTAATCAAGTACTCATTTTCTTACTGGCTTATACATCCTGCAGGGGGTGTTTCTAAGGACCATTTTTTTATGTCCCTTATGTTTTCATCCCCTGGAAGTCATTGTTCCAGCTGTATTTTTTTTTCAGAAGAAACGGAATTATTTTTACAGAAAGCGTTGGCTATCTGATTTAATCGATGGGCAAGAAGGTTAAAAATGCTCCAATAGCGGATGATAATGATTGTTTGACCGATTCTAATGCGCTAGTTATTGAAAGACAATCTAAGAAAAAGCCTAAAAACTACGTAAAAAAAGCCCCTGTCCAAGCGAAACTTAGTAAAAGGAAGCGTAAAAAGCTTGAGCTTGTGATTTCACGGCGAGAAAAGAAAGCAAACCGAGCATCTGTGCTCTCAAAACTTGACGATTTACCGCAAGTGGAGATTCAGAATCTTGACAGTGTTATTTCATTAGGACAACGAACGCATGGAAAGAAGCGAAAAGCCAAGGAATCGGAGCCTACAAATGCACAAGACAGCGATATTGAAATTTCTGATGCAGAATTATCGGAACAAGAAGGTGAGTTCAGCAGTGTTCAAAAGTTAACCGGTAAATTGAGCGTAGTAGTTAATAAAGTGCAAAAAATGGATTGTTTAACAAATAGCAGATAAACCAGCAATAATTCATGTGAATGTGAACATTTTCAACCAATATGAGAGTTTTTTCTTTCATATATACAAGCAATCATATACAAAGTTGAGCAAGGATAGCCGGTTACTGTCCAAATAGCTCAGAATGTTCCGACCAGTCTTAAAAAATTACAACAAAATTATTTTTCCAATTAGTGTTGTTTTTTCGGCTTGGTGTGATAAAGGAATCTGAGCGAAAAAATAGAGCCTAGGCATTTCCATCAATCATGTAAACTATGCAAATTGGAAAACAATTTTTGAAGACAAAGAAGAAGAAAAACAAAAAAGTTTTAAATTTTTTTAAATAGTTTTTCATTTTTTCCAAGTTTTTGATTCATAAGTTGAAGCTAAAAACTCCAAAAACTAACTTCATTAAAGAAAAATTAAATTTTCAAGGCTTAAATTAAGCATAAATAAGCTAATGTAAGCCTGCTCACTCGCTCGAAATTAGACGAAAAAATTTCAAACCGGGTTTTCTCGACACTGGGAATTTTTTTTGAACTTTTTTGATGTCGTTCGAATCATGATTAAAAAAGCTTTTATATGATATATCACGCCACCCAGTCCGATGATTATTTGTGGTAGCTGATTTTGCTTGCTTTATTCGCTCGAATTAAGACAAAAAAAAGTCAGAAGTTTCAAACCGGTTTTTCTCGACATTGGAAAAGTTTTTTGAATTTTTTTTTAATGTGGTTCGAATCACTACTGAAAAAGCATTTTTTTATCATATATCACTCAACCCAGTCCGGTCAATATTTATGGTAACTAATTTTGCGTAGAAAACAAAATGAAAAAAAAAAACTAAAACGCCCGAATACAAACTTCCTCCCCATTTTCAATGGTCGGAACAAAAACCACCTGGACGAAATGGCCAGACAGCTTCAAAGAATTTTGCTATGTGGTAAAAAGGTAACTTTAAGCTTGCGATTATCAAGCATTATCAAATCGGAAGGTAGACTTTTTTCGGGTTAACAACTAGGTGAATAAAATCAGTTGAAACAATTGCTGCTGACATGTTCAATTTAAAATAAAATCACTTTATCTAGGCAGTAAATAGGTGGTGTACATTTTGGACATTAGCTAGTTTATCTAATATTTTTTTATCGGATTCGTGGTTCTCGTCTTAATTTTGGTCGGCTCATTTTCCGTTTTTTTAAATGGCATTTGTTTTTATGGTACTAAATATCATCGTAATTTGTAACTTCTGTAATTTGTCATTTTACCAAGTCTGATTTCGAATAATTTTGTTGTTTTAAGTTTTTTTTATTAAACGGTTTCGGCTCTGGTTGTATCGGCTTAGTCAATTTATATTGCGTAGTTTTGAATGACGAAAAATTACTTTTCGACAAAATCAGGTATAATGGAAATGTATGTGATTGGGTTTTTTGATTTTTTCCATTTTTTTCATTTTTTAAAGTTTGTTGTTTGGCAGAAAACTACTCTTTAGATTTTCAGAAAAAGTATCAATAAAAAGAACTCCTGATTATCGAAGTGCCTGCTCATTTTTCTAATATGTTTTTTTTTACTTTGCCCTACTCTATACAGCCTTCAAAAAAGTCTTTGGGGGGAATATTTGACCCAAATTTTTCATTTTTCTCGTTTTCTCAAATTGAGATTTTGGGTTCATGGGATTAAACGGTTTGCATATGCGGTTACATTCAGTTCTTTAAAACGACAAGTTATGGCCCTCGGAAAAGTCAAATTTTTGCTTTTTTGACCTGTTTGAATTTTTGTCTTTCCTCGAAAACTACCGTCGCAAGGCTGAAATTTTTGGTGCAATGGAATCAAGAGTGTTATGGAAAGCTTCCCTGAACAATCGGCAATGCCAAATTTTTTAAAACATAAAGTTATGGCACTCGAAAAAGTTAATACTTGGTTTTTGTACCGTTTTTTTTTTAAAACTATTTGATTTTTCTCGAAAACTGCCCCCTCATATCTTGAGCTATTGCGTTCAATTGAAACAACAGATTGTGTGAATTTCTTCCGCATAAGCGGTTTTTCAAAAAAAATAAACACAAAAGGCTTGGTCCTCGAAAATGTTGATGCTTGATTTTTGTACCGTTTTTTGAAACTTTTCTCAAAACCTACCCACCTAATTCTTAGCTTAAGTGTTCAATCGAGAAAGCGAACTTTGGAAGTGTTCTCTGCTTAAACGGCCATGTCCTTATTTTGCTGAAATTTGTTTTGGATTTCGAAAAGTCAAGTTGTTGAACTTTTGAACGTTTTTTTTAAAGAATTTTTCTTACTTTTCTTAGAAACTACCCTATGAAATCTGAGATGAAGGGTTCAATCGAAAGAACCGCTTGCGATGCTTTTTCCTTCAAAAGCGGAGACTCCTCAATTTTTTGTAATAAAAAATTTATCTCGGAAAGATTCTTTTTTTCCCAGAAATTTTTAGTCTTCTCAATTATTTTAGTAGATAAACAACAAGGTTTCGGTCAAAGTCCAATTGTTGATATTACCCATTTTGTTCTGCATCATTGTAACAGATTCCAAAACTATCGAACAGTTTCTCCTAGCTTTATGTGGGCCCCGTAGTTATTTTCTATCGGATTTTATGAACTAGAACCTTTCACATTTTCACATTTTAATTTTTTTTCGACTTATTGTTACTGTTCATGTTGTATCTGTGTTTAAAATGTAGATCCGCTTCGCCTCTGCGTAAATGAACTGCTAGTGGTTGTGAAATATCCATTGCATCGCAATTATACAACTATTAGATATTTGGCGATTTATTGGGAAATTGACTGATTACAGGGAAAAATCAAGTTATTGATCGCCGCCTCGATCAATTAAGAAATAAGCTTTGAGGACCTTATATATACTCAAAAATTTATTTATTTTGCACATGGATTTTTGAATCGTTAAGTTGAGTTCATTTTTTGTTAAAAAGAAGGGAAAATCCACTATTGAAAAGCAAAAAAGTAAAGGCCACGAAAAATGTGATAGTCTTCTAGTTTTGAAATTGGGTTTTAATTTTCAGATTTCCTTGCAGACTTCAAATTTTAACTGATAATCCAGTTTTCTCAAATTCGGTTAATTTTTGTCAAAAAAGTGCTGATCATATTTTTTTCTTGAAAATTGCAGAGCTTAAAGGCCATCTAGGTTAGAGTAATAAACGCAGTGAAGACTCTTATATAGGTCTTGCTGATGTTTTTTTTTGTTTTTTTTTTTCGCTAAAAAGTCTTAAAATGCTCTAATAACTACAGATGTCCATTCATACATATTGATGCTTTCATGAAAGCACCTTGGTATATATGCACTTTTTCAGTTCAATTCAAATTCATCTGCTGAAAAAGGCGTAAATACCACTCACCAATTACGAACGTGGAAATGGCGCAAAAAACCTGAACAATTTTAGTTTCGAAAGTGGAATGTAATTTTTAGATTTCCAGTGGATTAAAAATTTTACTTATTGATCCAGTTTTCTCAAATTGGGTTAATGTTATCAAAAAAAGCGCCTGTCTTAAATTATTCTAGAAATTCAAAGAGCTTAAAGGGCATCCATTTTTTTTCTTTGTAATTCGAAAGTTAAGATTTTTTCAACAAAGTCAGTTTTTTTGTTTACTTGCGTTCATTACTCTTTTCCAACTGTTAGTTGGCTATATTTTTTAAATTCGTAAAACAGTGTTTCTTGTTTCCTTGCGTTTGACTGTTTTCCAACTATCTGTTGGCTATGTTTTTGTTCTGACCATTGAAAATGGGGCGGAACTTTGTATTCGGGTGTGTTGTTTTTTTTTCATTTTTTTTTCAAAGTCAGGTATCACAAATAATCATCGGACGGGGTCGAGTGATATATAATCTTCAAGCTCTTCTGGTCGTGATTCGAACGACATTAAAAAATTCCAAAAATATTTTCTACTGACGAAAAAAAATTGAAATTTTTGATTTTGTCTATTTTCGAGCATGTGAATCGTTCGGCTACGTGTGTTATATATGAAAATTGGAAATTTAAGATAGAAGAATTGATTTTACTAAAAGGAAGCTCCATTTAGCTTTTCTCTGGCAAAAAAAGTGTCAAAAACATTTAAAACTTTTCGTGCAAAAAATGGATTTAAATTTGAATTTAAATTTTTTTTTGAGGACCCATAGATTTGTTTACGCCTAATTCACTATTTTTCTACGCCATCTTATAGTTGTATTATCACATGACGTACAAAAACACACTAACTTGAAAAAAAAATGTTTTTTTTCTTCTGAAAATGTGGTCGGTTCATTCTGTGCTATTTGTTGTATTTGTTCATAGTTGTTTATTTGCTTATTTGTTCATTTTGTAGGAATGAAATTCTCGATAGAGATTTAATTCACCACAACAGCGCTGCTAACTCATTCAGCGCTGCGAATTTATTTGAAAAAAAAAGATCACAGGGGAAGTATCTATAGTTATTTCGAATTTTTTTTAAATTTCATTATTTGAATTTTGCCAAATCTTCGACCGTAACTAAATTGCTCTCAAATAGTTTTGTTTCGTTTTTTATATTGTATTCAGAAATTGAGTTTGCATGTTCTGTTTGTGTTGAAAATACGATCCAACTAGTTAATTGAGGAATTCATGGGCGCTGAACTTCGTCTTACCAATTACTGATAATGTGAGATATCACGCAATTTGGCTTAATTGAAATTTTTTTTTGCAGAAGTTGCTGCTTCAGTGGACATACCTATGTCGGAAAAGTGGGACGATTTGAATAAAGAAATAGAGCGCTTAGAAGCAACTGAGAATGAAATTGAAGAGTCGAATAAAGTGGTTCATAACCAAGATGAAGACGAACCTTTACCTTTTCCAACTGGCGAAGACACGATCACTGGATTAAGAAGAGTGAATGTCGACCGCACAGATGAAGTAGTTGCTTCTCGAAATAACCTGCCCATAACCAGTGAGGAGCATACAGTTTTAGAGGCAGTGGCCACAAATACAGTGTGTATAATTTGTGGTGCTACTGGAAGTGGAAAAACTACGCAAGTGCCTCAGTTTCTGTATGAAGCGGGGTACTGTTCAAATGGGTTAATAGGTAATTTGAAAACCGACATTTTATTTAAAAAAGAGGAAATAAATGCTTCCAATTATTTTAAAGTAAGATCTTCTATAATTACGTTGTCAGAATAGTCTCTTCAACTGCACGCTCGGCCTATCTCAAATTTTTGAAGATGTGATTTTTGTTTTAAAGAATGGTTTCTGGTTAGATTCAAATAGTGTATTTGTAACGGTTTCTGGTTAGATTCAAAAAGTGTATCTGTGACGCGAGGGAAAGGGTCAGCATACTAGCTCTTCAAATCCTTTCTAGAAACCGCTGTTGTGACACTTTGTTAAGTACTACATGCAATTTTTAGGTTGTTTTCCTGGTTCAAAAACGTTGACTCGCCTGCATGCAACACGGATCATGATGGTCATCGAAATACCAAAATTTGATGGATAGAAGCGGAGATCTTTGTCATTTTGCCATTCCTGCCCGGATATATTTTTTTTCGTTTTTTCATTATCGACGTATCCTAATTGATAGAAGAAAAAATTGCTCGAAAAGGGGTGTGGTTTCTAAGTTAAAGAGTTTTTTTTCTCTTTTTAAGGTGTGACGGAACCTCGCCGTGTGGCTGCAATTTCAATGAGTCATCGAGTTGCAAAAGAACTGAACCTTTCTAACTCAATCGTCTCTTACAAAATACGATATGAATCAAACTGCACTAAAGATACGAAGATCAAATTCATGACTGATGGAGTTTTGTTACGCGAAGTGCAGGATGATTTCCTGCTTGAAAAATATTCAGTGCTGATTTTGGACGAAGCACATGAAAGAAGTGAGTTTACAGATATTTTAATTGGGTTGTTGTCTAGAATTGCGCCACTGAGGAAGAAACGAAACTTGAAGCCGCTCAAAATTGTAATCATGTCTGCGACGCTGAGAGTGGAAGACTTCACGAAGAATAAGTTGCTTTTTAAAAGTCCGCCTCCAGTTGTGAATATCGAAGCGAGACAGTTTCCGGTGACTGCTCATTTTCAGAAAAGAACTCCAGCTGAGAATGAGTACTTGAAAGAGGCGTATAAGAGGGTGTGTAAGTTGCACCGGATTTTACCTGGGGGAGGGATTCTGGTGTTTGTGACTGGAAAGAACGAAATTGCATTGTTGACTAAATGGCTCGAAGCCACGTTTCCACGAAGAGTCAAAGAGGAGAAGGACGAATCAAGAGAGGAAAAAATTGCGAATGTTTCTGATGATAAGAAAACACTAAATGAATCCAAATCAGGTAGTTTTTTATCGTTACTTTTGAAACTAATCTGGGAGGTACTAATCTAAGCTAATATCTTTCAACCCCTCCCACCACATAACCCAAGTTGAGATCTTGCACGCAAACATTTGATTTGATTCACAGTTTTGTGCTGCGTGTGAAATATCGACTCTCATTGGCCGATATTTCCAATATAAGACGAGGCAACATTTTTTTCCTTAAACTGCTTTTTGGGGAGGTTGTTTGTTGGCTTCTACCGGAAGCTGCACTTTTGCTTCTAAAGACTGTTTTTAAAAACAAAATAGTTTGTCTGAAGCCATGAGTTGTTGTGTGATTTGAATGTGGACTGATTTAAGGCGATGAATCATTGAAAGCTAAGAAGAAAAAGAAAAAATCTGCCAAAAGGTTGAAACTTTCGAACTTCAGCGAAGAAGCCGAGAGAAAAGAAAGCGAAAAACGAGATGAAGAACATGAAAATAGAGAAGTAGGCTCTGCGGAAGTTCCAAATGATCAATTAGCCTACAAAGACATTAATCAGGCGAAAGCGGATGAACAGTGTCCCCTGTATGTTTTACCATTGCACTCTTTTTTGCCGACTGAAGAACAGAAACTAGTGTTTGAGCCACCTCCAGGTAAGCTGTGGTTTATTCAAGTGTGAATGTTTTTGGTGGATTTCCCCATTTTTTTAAATTAAAATTCGAGTTGATAGTTCAGTTTTATAATTAAAGTATCAACAAAGAAAGATTTTGATTTTCATGCAGCTTAAAGGATATGTTTTATTGTACAAAAATCGGAATTTAAAGCACTTTCAAAAATTTGGTCGTTTTTATCTTTGGTTGACTAAAGACGCAAAATCATAGTTCCTCTCAAACTTCTTTAGGTCGCACTACTGGTTGTTTCAAAGGGTTATACATGACATTTTACCTTATTTACATTAGCGTCAGCTTAGTGTATTATAAAGAACTTTCTTTTTTTCTAGTCTATTGCAAATATTGGTGCCACTTTAGGGGCACCTTTACAGCTTTTTGATAGCTTGTGCTTTGACATTCGAATACTAGTAAGTTAAAACAGTTGATACATTTTTAATTCATCAATTGAACTGAAAAACGCTATTTGTTTAAAACAACGTAACATAATAAAAACTCGATTTCAGAAATTTTCTTACAGTGCATCGCGCAATTTTTTGAAGTCCATAATTTATAAATAATATGGCTTTATGCTTTGCGATTTGCTACATGCAAAGTTGGTGTGGATGCCTTCAGTTTGTTATATTCCAATTTATTACTTGCAAAATTGTGTCTATTTGTATTTGGTGCCACTTTTTGCTGAATGGCATTGGCAATTTATTAGCATATGTAGCTGCTTTATTCGTGACTAGGTTTGTCGGTGGCTAAGCGTGCGTGGTTGAGTGATTATTGCTTTAGACTTAAAATCTCTTGATTGCAGTAGGTCGCATATCGAATCCTAGACCTAGCCGAACTTTTGCTAATTCGAGGCTTATTTCTCAATTTTTATTGCACTTCTAGAGCTGCTTCTTGTCGTATTCTTGCTATTGTTTGCGAAGCGAAGTCTCGCCTCTGTGTTCAATTTACCCTTTTTTATTTATTCTGTGCCATTTTAACCTACGTTCCAACTTAAGCTATTCCAGTTTACTCTACGCACGTTATAATATAAAGACGCAAAATCATAGTTCCGCTCAAACTTTATTAAATCGAATTACTGGATCTTTCAAATGGTTATACATGAGTATTTACTTCATTTCAGTTTACCAATTACCTATTTATTCTGCGCCATTTTAACCTACGTTCCAACTTTTTTCCTGTTTACCCTACGCTTGTTAAAATAAAATTTTACCTTATGTCTTTGAAGAAGTCCGTAGAATAACTCCGATTAGATATCAAACAACCATTAACTTTGATCAGGAAATAGTTGCCTCATGTGAAGAAAATTTCAAAGCAATGTAAAATAAATTGTTCAAAATTAAAATGTGATCAAAGCATGAACGGGCAAAAAGTCATCCGACTATTTTTAATTGCAAATTTCGTTGCCAATTAAATATAGGTTGTGTAATATTTACCAAATTGCATTGGGCATATTTGAAAGTGCCAACTTCAAGCAATAAGTCTCGGTTTGACGCAAGAGCAGTCACATTTTGGCGGTCGCCGTCTTTCGAAAACCTCGATACCGCTGTCGAAAAGGCAGAAGCTCTCAAATTGTTTCGATATTTCGAAATGCCCATCAACGATTGGTGGGGTGAAGGGTCTTTCCACTGTTTTCTGTCAATTAAGAGCCCTGTTTATTGCAGATTGAGAAGGGTAAAGCTAATTGCTGAGCTTTTTCGTCCGCCACGGATTGCAGGCAGGTGGTTGCAAATACACTGCTGTATACCGGCACTTGGCTAAATTTTGGTATCTTTTCATGTGCTGAGCAAGAATTTGTGCTTCAGATCGATCAGGGAAGACTTCGTGGCTGTGATGATTGCTTGGATAAATCAAATTATTGCCAAATGTGATAGCTGTGGCTATGAATTTGTGGGAATGCTATCATGAAAATTTCCAGATATCGTTTCCATTTTTCGCTTTTTGGTATGTTCGTGGCCAAATATGTGCAGGTTAAATTTTTCGTTATTGAATTAGTATACCAAAGAATAGAACTTATTACGACACAATTGGGCTTAAGATAAATTAGCGTGCTTATGTTAGAAAATAGAGTAAAATGGCAAAAGCGTACAAAAATGATTTCTTTTTGCGTACAAAAATGAAAATGTTCGATCTTTTGTATTTTCCTGATAATTTCCAAATCTTTTTATACTATTGTTTCATAAAGGGTTTTATTTTGTTTTGATGGGAACCGTTCAGAAAAACGATATTTTTGGGCCGTTTGAAAAGTTTTTACCGATACATGGTAGATTGATCGAATGACAGCGCGAGACATATCATATTAACTTTTCACAGACCGAGGGAAACCAAAAGTGAAATAAATTACTACATTAATAACTTCTCCCATGGTTTAGACTCAAATAAAACGCCTTGTGAAGTTTTCCTGGCGTCGAAGAAACGCGAAGTGAAAGTTTTTGCTCTCTTGACAGATTGAAACTTGCATCATTTTGACAAAGGCGGACATGATAGACGCTATGACTGAGGGTTGAAAAGCAAAGAGATTGTATTAATGGAAGCGCGCTCGCGAGCATAGTAGTATCAGATGTGTCCACTTTTTCTCGAGCCAAAGCAACACATTACAGTTTATGCGTTTGTTAGACCGCTTTCCTTGTCTGATATCCAAAAAGAAAATATATAATCCATGAAATATAAATATATAAAGAATCGCGTGTGGCTAAGACGGAATTCTTTGGCTAAGCATATGGCTCTTGAATTCAGAGTTTCGATAATTTCTCGTATCTTGTTTGTTGAAACCTGCCCTAATAACAATGCTAGTATAACTTTTTTTGAAGCTAGCGGTATATATTTTAGGAAGATATAGGAATTCCGCCGTTTCATATAAATTTTGAGATGCATTTTTTACGGAAACCGACCCGAAACCTCAATTTTACTGCTCAAAATGAACCAAACAGACTTAAAAATACTGAAACCGATGTGCTCTGAGATTTCCTGTTCTTTTGCCTAGAGGGATCACGACTGTGTGTGGTTTCAACGAACGTGGCGGAGACGTCGCTGACGATCCCAAATGTGAAATATGTAGTTGACACTGGTAAGGAGAAGAAGAAGGTCTATGACACCAGAACAGGAGTGTCTGCCTTCGTAGTGGACTGGATATCCAAGGCATCTGCAGACCAGAGGGCTGGAAGGGCCGGCAGAACTGGACCAGGCCACTGCTACAGGTAATAGAGTGAGTAGTATTCGAAAGAACAGCAATAAAAGAGAGGCCTCATTGTGCCTAAAAGACCGAATGAGCAAAGTTTTAACGAGGCGAGTGATCGTGGCTATAATGCATTGAATGATACTTGACGCTTCACAGTTTTGAAAATCACATCAGAGCTATAACTTTCGAGATACGTGCTGCTAATTAATCCAAAGTTAAAACAGGCAATTTGGATGCTCAAGGTAGCACAGAATTTTCCGACATTTTTTCCGAGAAAATAAAGGATAAACTGATTTCGCTTCACGAAGAATTACTAATAGCTTCCTGGAGAACATTTTTCGCTTGAAAATCATTGTTCTAGAACCGTAGTTTTCCGACGCTGAATATCAATTTTTCGGAATTTTTAATTCAAATTAGAATCACGACTGCAAAGGCTTCAAAATTATATATCGATCGACCCATCTTACTTTTTAGCTTTGCGATAACCAACGGTATTGCAATCGGGTACTAGACTTTTTTCCCGTTAACATTTTTGTCCACAAGATCTGCACTTCTAGACGACTTTCACTTCTAGAGGAAGATATCTCAGTTGTATCTTCCTCTAGAAGATACTTAATAAGTAATAAGTTCAAAGCCGTTTCCGGTAGTAATTATCTTTTCAAAAAATTTATCAATTTTTTTTCGTGTTCGCCGTTTTCGTCCTTGTTTCTGTCGGTTCATATTCCGTTTTTAAAGACTTTTTTAAAATCTGGTAGGGTTTTTATTACTTTACTTTTTAAAGCATGGGTTTTGTTCCAATTTAAACAGTTTTACTATAACCGGAACTTCACAAATTTGTAAATTTACCATGTCTGATTTTGAGTCTGTTTTTTTTTCTTTTTTTTTCTTCGTTTTTTAATATTCCAAAAAATTCAGTTTATGTGGTATTGACTTAGATTTACGTAATTTCGAGAGCAAAATATATAGGTTTGGGATTATATATTTCAGTTCGGAGGGGTCGTAAAAAACTTTTTATGACAAGAGGTTTGTTTTGGGCTCAACAGGTTTCGACTCTGAGTTTGTCTCCTTTTTTGCCGCTCGGTAAATGATTTCCATTTATAATGGCCTGTTTATGAACTTCATCCGATACAATTATGAAGTTTTTGTAGCTGTAATTTATCAACTTTTGTCAACTTATCTTTTCAAAAAAAAATTTCCAACTTAAATTTTCAGAAATATTTTTGATTCTGTCTTTTTTTTCATTCACGAAGTTCTAGCGGAATGTGTTTTTTTTTGCATCGCAAGTGTTGCGAAGTTCCGCTTCGCCTCTGTGTTTTATCTTACGTCCTATTGACTATAATTGGCTTTGATTTGGAAAAACAACAACCGAACCCAAAACTTCGAAAATCAAAAAAGTCAAAAGCCTTTTTAAAAATGCCTTTGAAAATGAGATTTCAGCTAAAATGGAAGGGGGAACTGGAGAAGAGCCCAAAGTTCTTGTTTAATCACGTTTCATATTTCGGTAATGAATTTAACTATGTATCTAATTACTGAATTAAATTTTAATACTATTTTATTCATAACTAATTGTGTTTGCAGGTTGTTTTCTTCTGCGGTGTTCACAGAGTTTGCATCCTTCTCTCAGCCGGAAATTCTGAGTCGCCCGATTGACGATCTGGTGCTGCTCTTGAAGAGTCTGGGTCTGACTAAAGTGGCCAATTTCCCCTTTCCAAATGCACCCTCGAGACATGCCATTGTGGGGGCAGAGTTGCATTTGAATCATCTTGGTAAATGTCCTGCGGTTGATTTTTGTTTTTGAAAAGTTTAGGTTAAGATTAATTGTTTTTTTTTTAGGAAACCTTTAAAAATTATTTCGGAAATGCTTTGTGAGTGCGCGTTCGTTTTTTTTAATGAAGATAAATACCATGTAAGTAAATGCTTTATGTTGAGTTAAATATGTTTGAGAAATTACTGTTCGTTTATTCTAGGCGCTTTGAATAAGTCGAAAACAAAGAAAGGAGAGTTATCTTACGCAATTAACGATCTCGGCAGAACAATGACGAATTTCGGCATATCACCCAGATTTGCAAAGATGTTGGCATTATCAAACCAACACGTGACTAGTAAAAACTCATCATCTAAAAATATGTTGCCGTATGTGGTAGCATTAGTTTCTGCTTTCACTGTACGCGAGATGTTTGTGAATCCGTCTAATTTGGGAAATCAGAAAGAGGTGGCTGAGAAATTGGATGGAGCGAGTCGGAAGGCAAGGAACAGATTGATCCGAGAGACCATGAAAAAGTGGCAGGGGTCTCCCAATATGCGTGGATTAGGTGAGCTAGCTCTCTTTTGCTGAGATTGAGTTTGCTGGAAATTTAGCTTCATTAATAAATTAATTTCCAAGCATATACAAATTTAACACACTTTGAAGAACGTCCAAGGTGTTTAGGGTGGCGAGTAGCGCATCCAGGAAAGAAGAGGAATATACCATTTATGCACGTTATATGCGTGCATTGGGTTTTGTTGCTCGGGTTTGCAGAAAATTTACATTCGATCCCTGGTAACATCCTCATCCTCCCCCGAAATCGTGTTAGGGGGTAGGATAATGAATTCTATGTAAGTTGAAACTTTCAGTCAATCAGAGTTGAGTAGTTTAATGGCTGGAGTTTTTATCCAAATAAAAAAGGGGGAAGTTCAAATTGATCAGTCAGTTTAGGGGGTATTCCAGTGCATGTTTTTGTCTACTACACCCCAGAAAGATGTGTTTTATGTTTTCTCTCTCCTATTCTACTTTGTAATTGAAATTGAACCTAAATCTCCAAAATATTTCATTTACAATGCCCTTTAAATGACTGTTGTTTAAAGTGCAGATTTGTTCAAAACCTATTTTTTTCAATTGAAAGTAGAATGGTAAACTTAGATGCGAAAAAGTTGCCAAAAGGTTAGTACAGAATATTTTGATTATTTTTTTTGTTTCAGGTGATATAATTGTTTTGTTGAATGCGATAATTGAGTTTGAAAAGGTGTGTGGAAGCCCGATGTGGTGTAGGAAACACGGTCTGCGTCTCAAAGCGATGCTGGAAATCAGATCCCTCCGAGCACAGCTCACAGACAACGTGAACGAATTTCTCCCTCAAGACTCAAAGTTAAGTTTACAGATGAAGTTAGACGAATTGACATCTAAAGAGGAGGCGGACACCTTGCGCCAGATTGTGTTGTCGGGCTTAGGTGATAAAATTGCGAGAAGAGTTGTCTCAGACGAACATGATTCAAAAGAGCATAAATTGAAACAACTTCTGGGTGCGAAAAAGGGCAAAAATGATGAAGACGGTGTTAAGGAGAAAGTCGGAAAAAATGCTTACCAGGCAGTTAACTTGGAAGGATTTGTCTATATACATCCGCATTCTGTCCTAGGTTAGTTTTGAAGCATCTTTTTTGTTTCCTAATCTCTGTTAATTGTTTATTCCTGCTTTAAGCTTGTGTTTTGTTTCGATGCAAGTATTTTTCAACCATGGTCTCAAATCGTGAATCTTGTAGTTTTAAAATCGTTTTTTTTTTTTAAAGAAAAGTCCTACATTTTTTCAGGCTCAAATTTTCTTTTCCGCAGTTTGACTTTTGATTTCTTTTTAAGTTCAGTTCATTTCCTTTGTTAAAAGGAAGGCAAACTCTACTATCGAACAGCAAGTCCACGAAAATTGATTTCTTTTTCGAAAAAAAAAGCTTTTGGTCAGATTTGAATTATCTGTTTCAGCCATGGAACTTCCAGAATACATCGCCTTTCAAGAGATCCACGAGACCTCCAAAATGTACGCCAAAGACTGCATAGCTATTGAAGACACCTGGCTACCGTATCTGTTTCCGTCTATGATTAATTTATCCGAACCTCTCGAACACCCGAAGCCATTTTACGACACAGACACGGATACAATCAAGTGTGAAATGACATGCACGTATGCTAACAACGCTTGGCCAATCAGAGCTCAGATATACAATCATCCAATCAACTTGAAGTATTACAAACTGTTCGCTGAATGTCTGCTAAACGGAGAGGTTTTTTCATTTTTCGACGAGTACAAGTCAAAGTTAGAATCAAGCCCGAAAGTTTTAATTAAATCATGGGGGCATATGCAACCCAAGGTCGATGCTTTTGTGAACGCATTGGTCAACAAACAGAGCTGCTCAAAGGCGAGGTTGAAAGAAGTGTGGGAAGTCGATTCGAACTTTCTTTTGAAGGAGTTTTTGCAGTGGCTGCCAGTTGATTGTACGTTTTCAGTGCAGGCCAAATGGCCCCCAAATTACTGATGATTGATATTTGTCAGATTGAGTTGATGTAAGTCAAATCAATATAAATGCAATAAAACTCATCTTGTTTTATAACAGGGAAGAGAAAACGATGGAAGGCTTAAAAGACTTGCAAGTTGAGAGAATTTCAATTGCTGATACGATAGATTGAATTTTATTCGTGTAATTGAACATGTAATTACAACCTAATGTTCGTGTAATTGAACATTCGTAATAAGGAATGCAATCGATGCAAACTGGACTGTCAACATGTTGAACATGTAATTACAACCTAATAATCGTGTAATTGAACATTCGTAATAAGGAATGCAATCGATGCAAACTGGACTGTCAACATGTTGAACATGTAATTACAACCTAATAATCGTGTAATTGAACATTCGTAATAAGGAATGCAATCGATGCAAACTGGACTGTCAACATGTTGAACATGTAATTACAACCTAATAATCGTGTAATTGAACATTCGTAATAAGGAATGCAATCGATGCAAACTGGACTGTCAAATGGTATAGATTTTTCAAAGAGAAGAGTCTTCGGTCGCTGTGCAAGTAGCTCAGAATGTTACCTACAGCTAGGGGAGGGAGGAAAAAGAGCCCCTCCGATTGGCATGGCGCTTTCCATCCAACTCACATTTTCCCGCTATTCTAGCACTGTATTGAGAAATTAAGTCTGAATAGCAATAAAAAATTTCAGACCGTTTTTCCCGAAATTGAGTTTTTTAAATGTCTTTTTGAAATCGGATTAACGACTAGAAAGGTTTCACTATGGGGGTACAGGTGATTATGTATGAGCTTTCTTGTTGGGGGTGTCTAAAGTAGCGCATGAAAAACATCGTACGCAATAGATCTTTAGGCAGCACCGTAAAGAGAACAAAAACGGAAGACTAAATTCCCAGTTGATATTTAGTTTTCTGATTAAGAGTTGAACCGACTCATAATCAGATTAAGATGAACGTACCGTACCTAATTGGATTAACTTTATCAAAAAAAGTGTCAATCATAAATTGTTCTAGAAATTCAACGAGCTCTAAATTCATCTATTTTTTTTTGAAGTTCGGAAGTTGAGATTTTTTCAGAAGTTAAGACAGTATCTTTTTTCTGTTTACTTCCGATCATTGGAATTTTTACAACTCTTGTGTTCATGGTTGCTATGTTCGAAAATGACTGTTTTGGTTTTCAGAATGGCTAATGTACAGGAAGATGGAGTTGCACCAGCTGCTAAAAAAGCCAAACTTGAACCACCCGACGATGGAGTTTTTTTGGAGCAAAAACAAGAACCCAGATACTTAGTTGACCCATCATTCGACCGATGTTGTCGAGCTTATGTTCTAGACAAATACGCCATAGTTTCATACAAAGACGAGTCAAATTGGATGCAAATCGAATGCGCAGTACCAGAGCAATGTCCACGAAAACTACCTAAACCCTCCCCCTTAGAAATTAAAAATGAAACACTTGAACCGCCTGAGTTAACTAATAGCGGAAATTGTAGCAGTAATTTAACAACTCAAATAGAAGACAAAACGACGATCGAAGTATCAGTTACATTGACATCACCTACCCAAAAATCATCGCCGAATATAACTTTGAAATCGAGTCTATCTACTAGTAATGTGTGTCAAGCTGGAAATAGTACAGCCAGTGTGACTACAACAAAATCTGTTAGTTTCAGTTTACCACCGGACCATAAAGAGGACCGAATTAGTCTCGGCAGTGTGAGCAAAGTGAACAAAAAAGGAGTTCACGCTTCGAAAGCTGATGTCTTCATCGAGGAGTCTGAAAGTTATGCTGAACAATTGAATGATCAGCTGCAAAATGCCGCAACCGATTCAAACGTGACAAACGCGACCGTTGACGTAAAAATGGGTCCGCTCATGCCAAATATCCACACATTAGGTGCCCCGCCCCCGTCGCTGCCAAGTTACCCCCCGCCGATGCCAAAACACCCAGTTAACACAATTTCAGCTCCTCCGCCACAACTAAATGCTCCGCCAGCCGGGTTCCCACCTTACCCGGACCCTCTGCAATTCCCGAATGCAGTCAACGGATCAAATTTTATCCATCATCCTCAACATTCAGTTCCACCACAACCCTTGGTTCCTGCTAATCCAGGACAACCTCCCTTGTACATGGGAGGTCCATCCGGGTACCAACGTCCGCCCTCCTTACCTATGCATCACATAGTTCCGCCCAACTACCCTCATGCCGGGGCCTTTGTTGGAGGACACCCGCCGCGACATCTTAGTCCAAACCCATCAATCAAAGAACACTCGAGTCGAGTTACCTATCCGCCAGCACCTATAGGACGGTTTCCGAATGGTACAACTGTTGAGAGAAACATATCTAGTGGTTCAATATACCCCAAGAGTCCGGAATTCCACCAACATTTGCATAGTCATCTGCATCAACATATGCATTACCCGCCGAGCGGAACGCAAAACCCAAATTTGGGATCGTCTGTGGGTAAAAATGGCCCTTCATCCGTAGCACATGTGCTAACTATGGCAGTTCAGCCTAAGGGCAAATGGTGTGGTGCGCACGCGAAGATAGCATTCTTTATCCACGCCCATAAACGAGACAAACATGATTTAGTTCCGAACACTACTGGTGCTTTTGTCGCTCTACAGCCGAGCAAAAACTCGCCCTTTTCGAAAGTATCAACCGGAAGTAGTAATCAGCCGAAATCGACCAATCAGCAATCGATTTCGACAAATGGCAATTCTCAGAATTTGACAGTGGAACCAAATATGCAATCCAGGGGCACGTGACACTGTAATCGTGTCACTTGAAAATTGATCTGTTGTTAGATGTCTGTATATCCTTGGGAATTTTCATGGGACGTAACAGCCAGTGCTGATTTTTTTGCTGTCTAATCTGATGAATGTTCAGACTGATGCTTCCTTGTGCAATAATGGCGATTACTATTTCAAAATTGTGTGGTCATTACAGAAAAACTAAGTAACGAGATTCGACTGGAGTTTGGATTCAAATGAAGTTTGGATGGTTTGAGATCGGAAATTGCAGCTACGACGGTGTAAATGATCATATAAGCTATGGTTTCATCAAAACGCGAAAAACGCGATAAAGACTTTTCAGTTAAACTTTTTCTTTGTTTAATCATTTTGCTACGGCTATTTATTAATTTAAATATAAATTATTGCGTTAAATTTATTGTTGTTAGATTTGCAGATCAATAGTTTGCTCCACATAAGTTCCTTATCATTTATTTGATTCCTTAAAGCTGATTTGGTTTTTCTTAAATCAATTCATATCTTTACTGAATTTAGTTTTCTGATCAGTAACAGAAATTGAGAACAGATTATTTATTTGGCAAATACATTTTATTTAGTAAAAGTAGACTATAGCATGTGGTGTCGTGCCCTTAAAAAATTTCGACGGATTTCTTGGATATTTTGCGTTTTGACCGAAGTTCTGGCTCCAATTTTTGAACTTTTAAATTGAACCCGTTTTGTAGGAAAAATTAGTTGGCTCTAAGATTATTTTTTTTTGCGGTTGAACTCTTGATCTCTTTTCAAGTTCATATTGAAATCTGTTGCCAAGGAGGCAAATAACGCTCTCAAATAAAAATAGTGCAAATGGTGTGAGAAGCGTGATTGACTTAAAGTTTCAAAATTTGGGTTAAATACTTACACGTGCGATTGTAATCGGGAACTAGTTAGTTTTTGCAGCGGAATAAATAAAACAGCTTGTGAATCCTGTTTTCTCAAATTGAGTGAATTGGAATAATATTAAAGAAATGCCAAGTAATAACAAGGATAGCCGGTTACTGTGCAAGTAGCACAGAATGTTCCGACCACAGTCATTAAAAACACAAAATTTTTTCAAACTTTAACCGTTTTTCGGCGTGGTGTGATTAAAGGAGCTGAGCAAAAAACTGGGAATTAGTTTTATTTGACAGTCATAGTAAAATAAGCAAAGTGAAATACAAGTTTTGTAGAAAAATTACTAGAAAACGAAAAAATCAATCATAAGGATGTTTTCAAATTTTTTTTTGCAGTTCCAAGAAGGCGCTAAAATACTCAAAGTAAACTAACGTTACTCAATTAAAAGTAAGCTTTAACGTTTTAAATAAGCTATTGTAAGTTTTTAAGCAACTAAAATAAAACTGCTCGCTCGCTTTATTCGCTCGAAATAAGACGAAAAATGAAAAATTTCAAACCGGTTTTTCTCGACACTGGGAAAATTTTATTATGTGATTTGAATCACAACTGAAAGGGCTTTAATATGATATATCACTCAACCCAGTCCGATCATTATTTGTGGTACCTAGTTTTGCGTAGAAAACAAAATGAAAAAAAAAACTAAAACACCCGAATACAAACTTCCTCCCCATTTTCAATGGTCGGAACAAAAACCACCTGGACGAAATGGCCAGACAGCTTCAAAGAATTTTGCTGTGTGGTAAAAAGGTAACTTTAAGCTTGCGATTATCAAGCATTATCAAATCGGAAGGTAGACTTTTTGGACATTAGCTAGTTTATCTAATATTTTTTTTGGACATTAGCTAGTTTATCTAAAAATTTTTTTATCGGATTCGTGGTTCTCGTCTTAATTTTGGTCGGCTCATTTTCCGTTTTTTTTTAAATGACATTTGTTTTTATGGTACTAAATATCATCGTAATTTGTAAGTTCTGTAATTTGTCACTTTACCAAGTCTGATTTCGAATAATTTTGTTGTTTTAAGTTTTTTTATCAATGGTCGAAACAAAGCTTTTGAAAAAGAATGTTACATTTTTCCGTGAAAGTCATTTATAAACAGATCAATTTTTTTCCGGTTTCATGAGTTCATTGACTCTTCACCAGCTGGCAGTTTGCTTTTCCCAGTTTTTTTTTGAAGTGTCAAAGAAGGAACTTTATACGTCGAAGTTTTTTAAATTTCTCTTCACTAGTTTTATCAACATTCTTGAACTTTAGAATGCTTTAATTTGTTATGAAGATCTCTTGCCCTTGTGATAAGCAAATGTGTTGCAATCTGGTGCTAGATTTTCCCCCCGTTAGTATTATTGTTCACGGGATGAAACAAATTAGTGGTCATCTCT